GCATACGGTATTCCTCTGTGTAATGCTCAACGAGCAAGCGTACAGCAATGGTCGCTTTTCTGTTCCACCAAAGTTTGATTTTAAGTAAGATTTTGGTCTCTCCTTCTTTAAAAACAAGAATAATCCCACTTAAGAGTAGGAAAGTTACCGTCGTTTCCGTAATCGGAGAATGCGATGCTTTCCATTGTGATGGTTCTTTCATCCATCTTCTGGGAGCACCATTTATTGAGAAAAGTTGTTCGGTAAGAAATATCAGTTTGTAATTATTGCTTAAAAGGACAACACCGGGGTACGAAGTGCTGTTATTCAAGCTATTTTCAGACTTTTATCGATGGATATTACGATTGTGAAAAACAAATAATATACTTATGCCTAAAACCAGTGACACAGGAAACTATTCTCAAGATGTTGGCTGCTGATGGAGTCTCAGCAGAAGAAGTTTCCAGAAAACTGGAGGTCGTCCATCTCAAGCTCCTGTTTTATCTATTTGTTGTCTCTCATTTTGTCGTCGTAAGTCTGACAATTCTTGTTCTACTAGCATAGGTCTTTTCTGTTGGATCTCGATTGAATCCGAAATATATCAGAACTTTCAAAGTAATTGACCGAATCAGGTATAGCAAAATTTACTCCAGTTATATTTCAGAACTGAAATGAGACATTCTTTGGATACGTACTTGAGAACACTTCCGCTTCCTCGTGACTGGTTGGTTTCCGGAAGAGCATCAGTCCCAAGATTACTATTCGTCTTTAAACTTCTACCACAAATAGCCAGAAAAATTTCTAAGGTTCGATTGAACATTCGAATTTTTCACTTATTTGTGTTTCGTAATTTTTTATTGCTTATTAGTTCAGTTCAGCTTATTTTTTCACAGGACGTAATGTATCTGTCACCATAACCCGTCCGTTGTGTTATCAGGGTATATTCTTGACTTCCATTACACTATCAAAAGCCTTTAATAATTATTTTTTCGGTCTCGTTTCCAGTCGCAGGCTTTCTTCAGGTTGGGTTAGGTCACGGAAAGTAAAGCTAGTGTTACCGTTAAGTTCATTGCATTCGTGAGATTTAAGGTGATACCACTGAGCTTCTGCTGTTTGCGAATACCATCATCCTTCCCTTCGAGATCCCGTTTTGTGGTTAAACTAAGGGGAAAGCTAGGCCTCTGGGTTTTATCGACAACATCAGCGGGCTTCAGACAATTCAGGTTCATTGCTTGCACTGTTTCATACACCAGAGTTTCCATCATGCCCGTTATATCTGCACGAATTAAGCAAGTGAGAGAAAAATATTAAATAAGTTCGTATGCGAAAGGTTGGAAAAGATTATATGGGGAGGGATATCTAGATACACGAGGCTTACATTATATCTGGAGCACTAGGTTCTGAACACTTGCCTCTAAAAGCCTCAGTTCAGTTTCAGTTTATTCAACCATTAACCATGCACTTTCGTGCGCCGGTTTGGCTTGCTGTCTTTTGGGTTTTCATACCCTCGTGCTAGGTCTTAGCTTTACCACCCTTAGCTTTATTCTACCCAATATCTGCCTCGGCGAACATCGCTCGCCGTGGCAGCCTATTTGGCGACGTGCGTCGCACATGCTTCAACCGACGTAATCTATGGTGGTTGACCCCTTGCTCCAATGGTCGGCCGCAGTTAACCAAAACTCTGCGCCTAACCTCAGCATCGCTCATCCGGCTGCCCCACGAGAATTGTGAAATGCAGCGGTGTTGAAACACCGCCAGTCTATCTTTATCTTGTTTCCTTAATGACCAAGTCTTCGGGCCGTGTAGCAGAACTGGCCGATCTGCCGCGGCTTACACTCGATCCTTCACTGACAGCTGGACGGCTGTGACGGCGTCACAGATGTCTCAAGCTAGCAAATGACATCCGAGCGTTCTGCATTCGAGCTGACACTTCATCTTTGATGCGTCCACCGGGTGAGATGTAGCTGCCCAAATAACATCTTATCCACTTGCTCTATTACTTCCCTGGTGATGGACCAACTCAGTGTACTAGCATTTTACACTTTGAAGGTGCAAATTGCATATCGAACATGGCTACACTGGCACTTGAGCTATTCAGAACAGCTTGCACCTTACCTGGATCTTCACTCCTTAGCACAATGTCGTCTGCATACTCAAGGTCAGAACGTTTGCCACCTGGGAGCAAATGGATGCCCCTATAGTCGCACCAAGGTAGGGCTGTTTCGAGAATTGAATCTATGACAGTTCAATAGAAACGGAGAGAGCCGGCAACCCAAACGAACACCACTTTCTGTAATGAACTCGGGTGAAAAGGTGCCGTAAGCTCGGACTCGGCTTCAGCTGTGTATCATTTCAGTTCCGTTTTTTCAACCATTAACCATGCACTTTCATGTGCCGGTTTTGGTTGCTTTCTTTTGGCCGCCCATTTGGATAAAAGAGCGAGAAGACGACTGGAATGTTGAGAGCAAATTCAAGCGGCAGATGAAGAATTCATATAGAATGATGTTAGAAGAATAATGAGTGGATGCACAGCTATTAGTATAAAGTTATTGTAATATTTTAAAAAACTTCCCTGGCACACCCTTCAGAACGAAGAAGCCCCGGAGTCTAGAGCGGTCGATTGGGTTGAAAGCCGCTTTCAAATCGAGGGAAATAGAAATGGTGAGTCTAGGAAAGGATTGTCTGTGTTCTAGAATTTGACAAAGAGCGAAGATATGGTTGATGCAACCTCGGCCAGGTCTAAAACCAGCCTGGGTCTCATGCGTACACTCTTCTCGTGCGGCAGACAACCGATGTAGTATGATCCAAGTGAGGAGTTTATGGGTAATGTTGATTAAACTAATTCCTCTGTGGTCTTCGCAAGAGGACCTATCGTCTTTCTTGTAACTCGGTATGATAACCAATTAACACTATTCAGTTGGAACTTCTTCCTTCTCCTACACTGATCCCAGGAGTTTCATTAACTCCGAAACCAGGGCTGAACGTTCATCCTTAAAAGCCGATGGGGACAGCCCATCTTTGCCCGGGAGCCTTATGCCTTTTGTGATAGCTTATTTCCCGGGAAACCTCGATTTTAGATGGAGAATCGGCATTAACTGAGAGCATTTGCACACTCGAGTTTTTTTTGAAGGAGGGGGGGCGGGGTGCTGATAGGTCGGATCTCATTTTGGTGATGTGATTTCCCAATACCACCAGCAGCTGCGATCAAGTTCCCGAGGTACTTAAAGCTCTCAATCACTTTCAGCTGATCACCACAGAGGGTGAGTGCAGGCACAGGCTCCTACCAGTCGTGGATAAGTACTGAATACCCTCGGGTTAGGCAGAGCTGAATGCTACTAGGCGCGTTCCCGGGTTGTGGATAGGGGGATACATTCACCGAAGAAGGTTATCTGTGAATAAGTTGTGGCATAACCCAACAAATAAGCAGTCGCGAACAAACAGCTGCGGCGCTACCAGCGTATGGTGGGTTTCAGGCTGGCCACATGGTTCCTGTTTAAAAGTCACATAAGCTCAATGGCGGTGTCGTGACAAAGGTCGATGTGATTGGTCTTTTAAAATTAAAGTCATTGAACCCTTGCTTCCAATGTGAGGGATTACATCCTTCTACCTTGCAGTTCGCACTTGGTTATGCAAAGGCTAGAGGTGCGCCCTCCAAATAAAAAAAACGTCGAATGACGCTGGGGACGTCTCTCGTACCAAGCTCCCAAGTAACCTCATGCCCATGTCTTCTACGGCGGCGGCGATAATCAATTACAGAGAAATGGCAAATGTGCCCCAACATATGAACAATAAGAAATCTGAAGAATGTGTTCATAGGTTGTGTGGGTATTTTATTTTTGATTGCCCTGGCCGAGGAAGGGGAATAACCTTGGGGTCCCCACCCGAAGCCTTTGGATAGAAAGCCAGACTTGCGGGACAACAGGATGAAGCTCGGAGTCCGCAGTCCATTGGGAGCCGATGTCCAGTTAATTGAATCATACGCCCTTTGGACGGGGTCAGACGTCCAAGGTACTCAATACACCTTGATGTCCAGTGGAGCCGGTGACCACTGCCGCGACCAGGAAGTTATGCGTGTGGCTCGTACGCATCTTCTCGGTTGGTTTGGAATCAAGGTTTTTAGCCAACTCCCTTAGGTGAACTACCAATGGTTCACCAACCCGAATGTTGGTTTTTCATCCTCTCACTTCAGTGGGAAAACACCTCTGCCACTAGGAGGCAGTGAGTAGGGCTTCCTCAGCAGAGGCTATTTGAGATGCTTAGCCATATAGGAGCATTGCGCGAGATGTAAGGGAGTGGTGACCAGTCACAATCCCAGACACCCACCCTGACCATACTGAGCTTTTCGTGTTGGTCGAATTTGGGCCTCACTATCCTAAACAATTGAAGTGCGTCGCACTGCTGTGTTATTTTGCATGGTGGAGCATCGTTAACTTTTCGAAA